AAAAAAATAATTCCAGTTTTCTAACAGACTATTTCTTCAGAATTTGTAGTGATACAAGAATTCCTTTATTTATGATTGACAAGTTGTTTAAATCCTCTATGTATCTTAGCTGGAAGGTGTGTCTATTTTCAAAGATGAGAAACATGCTCATTTGTCAACACTCTCCACAGGTTCAGTCATGTGAGTTTAACCACTAAATTCACAGCTCACCTTCTAGAATCATGAAAAACAGACCACTTTCTTTGTAGTTCTACAATCAACGCTTATACCGAATTTGTTTTTAAAAGCTAAAAAAATAATTCTCTACTATAGTGATTTAGGTAATGATACTTAGGGGTTGATGAGTACATTAGCCCATAGATTTGTGAAATGATGTTTAGTCATAAGTCATTGTTGATTGTAGGATGTTTTTTTGTTTTCAGGTTACTTAATTGTGAGCAAGAAAAAAAATTGATACCAAAAAGAGAATCACAGTGATAAATAAATGATGATAAAATGAGTTAAACATGGATGGATTTTATTTCATCTTTTGTTAGTTTTTTCCTTCTTCATGCGAATGATCACGTGTAAAGTTCCATACTTGTTTTATGGTGTTATTAAAAAAATCAGTTAGAAGTGTTTTGTTTAAACAAAAAATTGTTGGACACTTTTTAGATTTTAGGGTAATAACATAAAAGATATGAAGAATCTAAGACAAAAAGAAGTATTTTTATGTTTAAAAAACAAATATTTACAGTGAACTTTAATAAAAGTCAGAATATTTTCCTTTCCATTTTAGTTATAAGTTACATATTTTTTAGGAAGTTTATGTCAGTTGTTGTTCTATTGAATTATGTAGTTTGTTTGTATAATGAAAATGACTGGGTTATGTCAAGTCAACTGACTAATTATTTAAAGGGGAGCAGTAGGTCTTAACTCATGTCATACTGGTAACAATAGTTTAAACAAGTGTGTAGATTATGGGAAAAGTTTATTGTATTCACATTAAATTAGCTACATAAGTTACTTATTCTTCTATTTCAGCCCAAGATAGTGGAGGAGCTTCTGGGAGTGGATGTCAAAGCAGTGGCGTGTGGATCATCTCATGTGGTCGTTTTGACAAGGGAACATACAGTGTACACCTGGGGAAGAGGGCAAAATGGTGGGTACAGTTTACAGTAGAATATGGTTGTATTGAAGTAGAATAAGGATTACTGACATGAAAGATGTACCTTGGAATAATTAGACTTGGTGTAATATAGGACACCTTTATACATTCGAGATGATTATTATTAGACTTTTACATAACTTACTCCCAGTTGGTGTTTGAATTCTGTTAGAACCTGTAGGTGAATCACTACCTGTTACATAGTAAAATAGTGTTTAAAAATTAATAATGTATGCTGTTAAAACAGTGTTAAAAATTAATGTATGCTGTTAAAAATTAATAATGTGTACTATTAATGAGATGAGGAAAAGTATTTTTTATTTTAACATGAAAATTACTTTTGCACACGGACTATTCAAAACAAATACTCAGTATAATAATAATGGCCAAATCTTTATTTTATATTATAAAAAATATTTCACTAAAATGTATGATTTTTTTTGTATGTGAAAGATTTATAATATAAACTGAAAGACTGCCAAATTTTGTGAAGATATACACACTATATTCAAAGTTAGAAGTATTAAATCTATAAAGACTAAACGAGTACAAAGAGGTCACGTGGTCGGTCAAATTGACCGAGCCAGTGTTGAGAGAGTTAAAAATTTATGTATGCTGTTAAAATAGTGTTCAAAACTCCTTACCTAGTAATGATTTGCAAGTTATTTATATAAAATTTATAAAAAAAATTTTACTTCACCAACTTAGTCCAGTTTATGCATTGAAACAGTTGTTAAGCAATTTAGTGTCTCAACTACTACTGTGCCTGTTGGTGATACTAATTAAATGTAGGTTAAAAAAAATCAAAGGAAAACCTTAAATCTTTTAAAAGTTCTGAAGTTGTAGGGTTTCTTAATTTTATCACTACTACATTATCCCAGCTGGCCTGATGAGCACTGGTATTGGGCTGAAGGCCTTGTCAGTACTGGGTATATCAGATATAGTGTGGTTAACATATTATTTTATTGGAAGTTCTTATTTATAATTTAAAATGTAAACTTATAATTTAGTAAGTAACAACAATGATCTTGGCAAACTTTAGGAACATCCATAATAATGCATGTGTTTCCATCTGGTAACAATGCTATTATGTATGAAGAAGAGCTAAGCCTACAATGATACACACCTTCAAGCCTCAAGGTTTGTGGCTCCTGTCACAATTTTTAGCTGTATATTATAACATGGATATTTTAACGTGAAACATCTGGTTGCCTATTTAAAGAAATATGTGTACTGGTTTTCATTCATTTTTATCGAGGTGTATGAAAGGAAAAACCAGTTGTTTCAAAAATAAAAACTGCTAGTATGTTTTTCCGACCATTAATCCATACACACGTTGTTTTCATCAAAAGTGGCCCCCCAGTGGCTCAGTAGTAAATATGAAGGCTTACAGTGCTAAAAAATGGGTTTCAATACGTGTTGCAGGTACAGCACAGATAGTCCATTGTGTAGCTTTCTGCTTACCAACAAGCAAACAGTTAATCAAAAGTACTGTAACAGCTAAGAAAACAAGTGGACAGAAACATTTGTCAGTAAAACATATTACTTTTGTTATTTGTAGGCAGATTAGGCCTAGGGAAATCCGATTCTTTTGTGTTACCTCAAAAAGTCCCTCTGCTGGCAGCTTGTGAACCGGAGCAAATTTATTGTGGACACGATTGTACCTTCTTACTAACCTCAACAAAAGAGATTTATGCTTGTGGAAGTAATAGGTAGGTTTATGCCTGGAACAGCTTTCATTTAAAATCAGATTTATGTTTGTGCTGTTTATACATTAAGTTTAAAAGCTATCAGTAACAGAATTATCAGATTTGTATTTATGGGAAAGCTACTACGAGGCTCTCTGCTGACATATTTAATTTTGAATTACTGATACAGTGCACCTTACCATCTACCGTCCATACTGAGGGACTGACTGTCACTCTTATATGCACCTGCACATAAAAGTGAGAAGAATATTATGTGGTATCACATCGATTCAAATTTGTCTTGCCAGCTCCGAAACCCAGAGATCTGCAACAAAGGCTTGGTGGTTAGGGCTCTTGACTTGTTATCTGTGAGTACATAGGATTGAAAACCCATTATCAAACATGCTCATCTTTTCAATCATAGGGGTGCTAGAATGTGACATCATTCCTACTGTTCATTGGTAAAGAGTAACCCAAGAGTTGGTGGTATTGAATAGTTGCCTTCCCTCTAATTTATCACTTCAGAATTAGGGCTAGCAAGGACAGATAACTTTACCACAGGGTCAAAATACACCTGCACCCTTCACTTTATTAAGATAAAATTTTGTATTAGTGGATAAGATTTATGAACAGCTCATGCATATCCTAAAGTTCATGAAAATTTGTCAGAATTTTTCTGTTTCCATGGTAACATTTATCCTCTTCAGTAATAGTTATATAAGGCTTCAAGGGATATGAAGTGGAAAAGAAATGTGTGTAGCTCAAGCACGATAGGATGTTCCATGTACTTGTTTTCACATACCATCGTGACACAAATCTTGCTACTTGCTCTCAAAACTATATAATTATGCAAGTATTTTTTTTTATTTTTCAGTTCTATTCTATAGGGTCACATTGCCCAATGGGAATTTATCCAATACTGGACTGAACAAAATCATTAGAAAATTAATAATGTTTAATTCACGTGTAATGATATTCATGTTAAACTTGCTCTCACCTGTAAACAATGCATTTATAGATTTGTTTAGAATTTTCCTACATATCTCAAACATAGGTTTCTGTTTGCTATGAAACTATGATGTCTTGAGAATACAATTAACTGTTGTTTTTATAATGATAATTGTTCTCTGTAAAAGATTTAGATGAACATCCCATCAATTTATCATGAAGCCTCAAATAATTGAATTGGGGGCCTAAATATCATTGGTACCCCCCAGTTATTTTACTGATAACAATTTTCTATTTGTTTTTTATATTTTTTATTGATTTTTCAGAAAATTTTGCTGGATATCTGGCACGTGTTCAGTGTACCACTCGCCATGTGCTGGATATCTGGCACGTGTTCAGTGTACCACTCGCCATGTGCTGGATATCTGACACGTGTTCAGTGTACCACTCGCCATGTGCTGGATATCTGGCAAGTGTTCAGTGTACCACTTGCCATGTGCTGGATATCTGGCACGTGTTCAGTGTACCACTCGCCATGTGCTGGATATCTTGCACATATTCAGTGTACCACTCGCCATGTGCTGGATATCTGGCACGTGTTCAGTGTACCACTTGCCATGTACTGAATGTACAGCACGTTTGCAGTGTACCACCCGCTATTTATTGGATGTACAGCATGTGTGCAGTGTACCACTCACCACTTTTGTGCTGATGAAATAGAGTTGATTGGCTTTCTGAAGTCACATATCTAAACTACCATGCCAAGAAACTTTTAAGCTACAAATGAGTAATAACTCAGTGTAACATTTTGTACTATGGACTCGTGAAAATGTGCATTTCTAAACATTAGGTGTAGGTCAGTGATGACATATTTTGTGTTTCACAGTTTTAGGGTGATATTTTCCTGATTATATTTTGCTGAAAGAGAAATTCTTTGTACTCGTTAAGCGTATTCAAGACAGAAACTTTAGAGATAAGTGTAAGATTGCTTCCAGCTAATTGTTTTTTTTATTTATCTATGACAGGCACAACAAGCTGGCTGTGGACACACCAAGCCACCCTCACAAGGAGGAGGCTTACATGTTTGTTCCTGTTAAAACTGAGCCTTTTCCAGATGTCCAGGTCAAGTCTGTTGGTGCTGGTGCATCTCACACTGCCTTTCTTAGTGGTCAGTGGGTCATTCAATGATACAGATCTCTTAAAACCCAAAATGTGTTTTATGTCAATTTTAATGTTTCTCACCCAGCCTTTCTTTACAGTTGTTAGTAACTGATAAAGTAATGTACAGTGTTCTGTGTGATACAACTATAATGCTGTTGTTTCCTAGGAGTTGTACAAAGAAAAGGCCTCTACAGTTGAAAAGTTATACATACAACTTGTAGTAAGATGTCGATTTCAATGTCTTAGATGCATCTGTCACACAAATCGTTATTTTTACTGTGTATCATAGTTTATAGCAGCTGTTGTGTAATAAAAAGAAAATGCTTCTAATTATCATAGTCATTTGAACAATAAAACAAAACCACGGGAAATGTGCTTGTTGGAATTAGATTTAACCATGGCTGATTGCAAGCTTTTCATTTGTAAAAGTGTATTTTAGGTGCAGATCATTATTACTGTAGCAGGTGCCCTAACAGCACCACACTTTATGTAATAAACACACATCATGTAAAATAAGTACCACCTTCCATGTACAAAACACACATCATGTAAAATATTTAACACCTTCCATGTACAAAATACACATCATGTAAAATAAGTACCACCTTCCATGTACAAAACACACATCATGTAAAATATTTAACACCTTCCATGTACAAAACACATCTTTTCAAGTAAATACCACCTTCCATGTACAAAATACACATCATGTAAAATAAGTACCACCTTCCATGTACAAAACACACATCATGTAAAATATAGTACACCTTCCATGTATAAAACACACATCATGTAAAATATGTAACACCTTCCGTGTACAAAACACAAATCATATAAAATAAATACCACCTTCCATGTATAAAACACACACACATCATGTAAAATACATGCCACCTTCCATGTATAAAACACACACACATCATGTAAAATACATGCCACCTTCCATGTATAAAACACACACATCATGTAAAATACATGCCACCTTCCATGTATAAAATGCACATTGTGTAAAATAAATATATGTGTGTTTATTTTCATTTTTCAGAACAGGGTGAAGTATTTACTGTGGGCTCTAACCAGGATGGTCGACTTGGTACTGAAACTACAGAAACCATTCCCAACAGAGTCATAAAAGTGGAAGGATTTGGTACATCAAAGGTTTCTCAGATAGCTTGTGGAGATTCATTCACAGTTGCTCTTACAGAAAGTTAGTGGAGTTTTTTTTTCTGTTTAACATTTTTGGAGCATAAGTTATTTTCCTAATTATGCAAAAGAAAGGTAAAGCCTCATTGTATACTCTGTTTTAGATACTGCTAATTTTACAGCTTTATGTTATATTTGATGGCAGAATGACTCCACTGACAGCTTTCTCTTGAGTGCACCATCGATGTTGCACACTATGATTTAAATAATAATAATCCAATGATCGTGATATTTAATATTTTTTTCTTTTTGTCTGAATAATTTTGTCGTTTTTTAGAATTATGAATATTTCACAATTTTACGATTGTAAAAAAGAGACATCAGATGAAATAATCCTTACTGTGGATGATAATAGTTCAAGGATTGTGATGGGAAGCCTACAATGTGCTTGGTGTGTTTCAATGAC